TAAAAATAAAACTAATAAATAATAACTCGGCCCATGATTTATCAGTATGGAGGAAGGGAGTCATTCATTTCCAGTTAGAGCAAAGAGCTTTGAAAGAACTGGATTCTCTTTCCAGAGACCTTGGAGGAAATTCCTGTAGGATTGGGAGTACAAAGATTTCAAAGGAGATTAGAAAAGAAAATCAAAGACATGTGCCTCTCCAGGCCCTTCCTTAATCTCCCTATAGCCACATTTATAAGTTTTCCAAGTTTTCAGCTCCTCAGACATTATTCCTTATTTGGGGGTGACGTTGGTTTTAATTTTCTTATCCACAAAATATGTAAAAGTGAGAAACAAGATTGGAGAGGAGATGCAGTTAAATTACTATTAAATTTGCTGGTGCAGACACACTGGGAAGAGACTCAAATTCCAACTGAAAAGTTTTCTTTCCTTTCTTCCCTCCCTCCCTTCCCCCCTCCCTCCCTTCCTGTCTTCCCCTTCTCCCCTCCTGTCTTCCCCTTCTCCCCTCCTCCTCCTTATTTCCTTCTACCCTCTATCTCTGTCTCTATCCTCTGTATCCCTTTTCTCTCTCTTTCCAGTCGCTCCTTTTTAACTGAGCTACAACAGGGCACGATGGGCCATATTGGTTCATGCCTTGGTGGGTGCTCATCTTGAAGTAGGACTCAGCCATGGGCACACCACTCCCTACAAAATAAATCCAGAATTTTTAAAGTACTGGTAAGGAAAGCAGGTTTTAATGAATCTTTACTGAAGAGTCTATGAAGAGGCAAATGAAGGGATTATACTACAAATCACACAGTAGAAGTTAGTGAAAATTTCCATTGGGTGTCTCCAAAACCCCCATCCCCCAGTCTGTTACTTACATTTCTTCTTTGGTAGCAGCCCCTTCATCATCTTCTCTGTCCTTCCTGCTCCCATTGCACTGGCTCTAGGCTTTTCTGTGTCCTACATCTAACTCCAACACCCCCACCTGGTATCTTGTGTAGGGAAAGGTAACTTTCTTTGACTGCCCCTCTTTAGTGTCTTCATGTGCATTGCCCTGCTTGCTCACCAGACAAAGGATTTGCCCTCTTTAGAGTGTGACTGGGAATTGTTAGTAAATGACAACAATTTTTCACTGTTTCAAATGTTCTTTCTCTGTCATTCATTCATTATCTCATTCAGCAAGTAGAGTACATCTGGCAACTGCTGTGACCATGCTCATTGTAGAAAAGCCATCCAAACTGTCCGTGGTGGGGGTGGGGTGGAACAGGGTGGGGAAAGTGATAGGGTTCACAGCCACATGAAGGTTCAGAGTTGTAAGATCTTAAAACTAACAGTGACCTTAGAAATTGATGGCAGGCATTTCCTGCTGGGCCTTTAGTCAGGGAGAATAAGAATCAGGATGAAGATGTGGATATGAGTCTTAAGCCCAAGGAGCACCTGATAAGCATCAGTCAACAGGGAGGTGCCGACCTCTTTGTCAGGCAGGATTTGTATGTAGCAGGGCGGTCAGAGGCCTGAGAGGTTAAAGATCAGAGGGGCTTTGCTAATGTACATAATAAACCCAAGAACTAACAGAAGTGGCAGTGTTAACTGTCAATGGGGAGTACAAATCTTCATCCAAATGCTTACTGAGTGGTGGTGAGTCAGTGCAGGGTTGGCCGGGACTTTTATCTCATGAGGCTGTGCTTGTGGCCGTCCAAAAAGGAGAGTACCACAGAGCTGTCTGTCAGCTGAGGGCTATCAAGGTAGACTTGTCAAACTTCCTCTCCTGTAGAATTGTGACAGTGTCTCCAGATTCCCTGGAAGGCCATGCAATTTTCAAACCTGCCTGGAGGGCCTTAGGAACCTTGGCCTGTGGTTCTTCAGTGGTGGTGGGAACAGGGACCATGTTGACTCAACTTTCCAAGCTGTGTGTTTACCATTTTCATGCTCACTCAGCATTGATGGGTAGATGATCAGAAGTCAACATGGAAATGATGCCCAGATCCTCAAGGGCCTGGACATATGTATTAACTCCTAGCCACAGACAGTCTAACTGTGCTGTTGAAAGCAGGGCTGTTGGACCTAGATGATGATGATGATGATTTGTCATTTAGTGTGATCTATCCTGTTCCAACCATTCCCATTGTATCTTCAAGGCAACCTCGTGAGGCAGGATTTCCTTCTGATGTAACTTCACTCCTCTAATTACATTCTGCATTTAAACTCAAATATGTCTGATGCTAAAATCTGCACCTATAGCCATCTCAAACAAGCAAATAATCTCTCCCCTTACCACACAGCTGAGCCAGAGATAGGGGGACGGGGTGCTCTGTAGGCTCAGCATGGCCTGCCACGGCCTCTAGGACTGGGGGAATGAATGAACTGAAATGGGCATCAGGATGAAGGCAAATTGGAGAGTACACTGGTTTTCAGTGTTGCTGGGTTTACAGGAGTGACACCATGTTTCTCAGGGCTCAAGGGGACAAATACAGGTGAGAACTCTCATTTCCCTAGGCCCTTTCAGCCTTAGGGAGAGATCAACTCATTGTAGCACTATGGGATCTCCAAAATTTCCCATTCCTGAGTCCCCTCCTGGGCCATGGGTCTTCAAGGGCTTATGTCTGCCTGTGACTGTCTCCTCAGCAGAGGCTCATGCTTGGACCACTGTTGATGCTGTTGAGTATCACCCTCTAATATGCAAGATGGTGTTCTAGGATTGCAAATAAGTGAGGGGCTCACTGTGCTGTGTGGAAAAGCAGACATGGAAATGCAGCATTCTTTTCCCAAGGGTCCCTGCTATGATGAGAGGGGCGATGATACCTTGTCACTCACAGAGTAAATATGGAAGGGAATTGGCAGTTTACAAAAGGCTTTCAACAGAGACCTTGCTAAATGCAGCTCTTTGAAGGAAGTGATAAAGTTTTCATTCATCTTGGCATGGTGTCTGGCACACAGCTGGGGTTCAATGAATTTAAACTGAACAGTGATAAATATTTTTTAGGTGCATCATGTCAGGCTGTGGGTGAAGGGTAGGGAGGTGAAAGAGGATGTGTGATGTAAACATTAATCAATCAAAGATCCTGATTTCAAAGGGTAGGGTAGTAAAAACTGTCTTTGGGGACAGGCAGATCTGGGTTCAAATCTCAACCCTGTCACTTACAGGCTGTGTGATCTCTAGCAAGGCTTTAACCTCGCTGGGCCTCAGTTCCCTGCATCCAAGAACATGAAACATAATACCTCCCTCACATAGGTAGGGGAGGATGAACTGAGATAGCAAACACATGCACCCATGTGCAATGCACGCTGTAGTGCAGCTTATAGCAGAGTCCCTGGTGGTGCAGCATGCACATCCTCTTGGCCCCCTGGAGGTCACTGCAGCTCTCTGTCTGCAGGGGTTCTCTGGTTGTGGGGCTAAACTCAGTGTACACACAGGACAAGCTGGAAGTGCCAGGGAGTCAAGTCCAGCAGTAACCTTCAACCACTGAGGGACTCGCTCCTGCCTGCTCACCTCTCAGTATAATGATTCTTAATTGGTGCTTCCCACAGTCTCCTAGAAAGTCCCTAGTGGAACTGAGTTCCAGTTGTCTGTGACATTAACCTGTTCATGGACATGTCCATATTGTCTTCCGTCCCTTCACTTTCTCAACACCCTACACCCTCACCGAGCTTCCTGGGGCACCTCCCAAATAAACTATTTATTCTCAAGTCCTTGACTTAGAGGCTAATCCAAACAAAGACACAGACAATCAAGAAAGCTACTATTACTGTGGTGTTCCATAGGGCATAGATGTATTTAATTAATACAAAGAAATAGAAAATACTAAGAAGAAAATGAAGGATGATTGCTGCCAGCTGAAGGCATCTGGAAGGCTTTGGGAAGGAGATTATGTGTGACATTTGATCTGGATGTTAAAATGGGAAGGATTCAGACATCAGGAGATGGGTCAGAGAAGGGCACTTCAGGAAAGGACAGGGTCTTGTGTCCACTTTTATAATTTTTTGTATGATTCCTACAAAAGCCATGTGTGAGCCATGTGTGAGTCAGGTGGGCAGATAAGTCAGGTAGATCCATACTCTGGTTTCACCTGGACACAGAATTCCCTTGGCCACATGGTCCTGGCACTTGGTTCCTGTGCTCAGCACACTTTCTGGCTAAACTCATCAGTGCACATTACACAAGGTTGATGCTTTCCTTTTGCCCCTGAAGTGTGGTCCTGTAATCTCTTTTCTTTGCCAAACTATGTCATGGTCTGTGGAGACCCCACTAAGCACCCTGCACAGCTGCCCACTGGAGCATCCCATGGGTCAAGAGTCTTCTGAAGGCACTGAGGAGGTTTCTGCTCAGTGTGCCTCAGGTCCTCTGGGAACATCAGCTGTCTCATCTGCTCGGCTCTGATAGAACACACTGGCACTATGACCCTTGAGTTTGAGACATTAGCCTTGTGCTGTTTGTTTCACTTATTTTATCTGACTACCCTTCCTTATTTGAGTGAGTGAACTCAAGATGCCTCAGCCTATCCAGAGGACATACAGCTGAGGGCTTTCTTGCTCAAAATGAAGGTGGAGAAAAAGAGGAACAATGCTATTTGCTCAAGATAAATCTTTGCTATCACTTTACGCTAGTTCAGTGTTTAATAAGCCTTTTTAAAAAAGATCAGGGACTTTTGTTCAAGTAAAATTTTAATTATATAGGTAAAAGCTGAATTCCCTTGGTGAGTCAAGGTGGTAGGAGGAAGTTCTGCTTGCCCAGACCCCTCTTTGAGGAGGACAGTATGAACCCATTGCTTGATTGGATGAAAGGAGGGAAGTAGGAGAAAGGTGGTGATCTTATGTAACCTGAGCCTTTTATTTTAGCCTCATAGTGCATAGTGGGAAACCACTTGGGACCTCCCAGATGAACTCAATTCTAATGTGCCAGAGAGCTGAATCTCTTGGTTTCTACTCTGAGGAGAGACAATGGCTCATGTCACAGGGTCAATACTCAGAGAGGTGAGAAATCTCTCAGTCTTATCGGCTTTGCTCTTCTCTTTCAGAGGTTCCAAAAACAGAACAGACTTTTGAAGAACGCCTGATACTGAAAGCTTTCTTGCTAAAGTTTGTCAATGCCTACTCTCCCATCTTCTATGTGGCCTTTTTCAAGGGGAGGTGAGTGTATTGGTGTCATATGTGGAAGAGAAGTTGGTCACTAAGTCTGGGTCCTCCAATGGGGTCAGCCTGTCTCCATCGTCAGTTCACATCCTCAGCCCCATTCTTCATTCACACCCTCACCTGGCTGTTCAGGAAGCAATGATGTTAACACTAAAACAATTTGTATTAACATCTGCAGATTCTGATACATAGGGAAACTCTACAGGGGTTTGGCTCTGGGCCTTGAAGAGTTAGTCTTAGAAGGATTTCACATCTAGCCAGTGGCTCTTAGGTTTTGCAATGCAATTCTGATGCTAACTACCCAGAGTTCATGTAAATGTCACAGATTAAGGGCACAGTCTTCCACAACACTGTCTTCACTTCAGACACTAAGCCCCAAGCTGTGGGGTTCCCAGGCCACTCATGATTTGGTCAGCTGACCCCTACAACCACTAACCCTTCAGGTTCAATATTCACTAAAACAAATTGCATAACTCAGGAATGTGCTATACTTTTAAATTACAGTTTTATTATAGCAAAGGACTACAAATCCAAACCAGCAAATGGGAGGGCCACATAGGGTGAGGTCTAGGTAGGTCCTAAATAAAACTTTGATGTTCTCAGGACATGTCATCTTCCTGGCACTGTGATGCGCATCCCAATCTGGAAGCTCATAGAAGCTGCAGGGTCTAGAGTTTTTATTGAGTTTTCAGTATATAGGTATGATTGATTGAGTCATTGGCCACATGATTAAACTCAGTCTCCAGTCCCTTTGTTCTCCCCTGAGGTCAAGCTGCTATTACCTGGCTCAAAGCCCCAACCCTCAAATCCCATGGTGGGCCTTTCTGGCATGGTCCTCTTCATCCTGAGTGATTTTATTAGCATAAACTGAGGTATAGTCCCAAGGGCCCACCAAGAATAATAAAGACACTCCTATCAGGAAATTCCAATGATTTAGAGGCTCCTTCCAGGAACCAGCAACAAAGGCTAGTCAAATTCTTCACTGTATAATAGGTCTGGGTGTAAAATCACTTTTGATGAATATTTTTGTGGTCAGATCAATTGGCTACCTACAAGAAGATTTCCCAGTAAGCATCAGCTGTGTCAGGAAAGCCTCCGTAGCACTAATTGCTCATCAAACAGACATTGGTAGCAAGAACTGTCATCATCCACATTTGATAATTTCTTATAAATGTGTTTATAGCCCAAAGTACAAGCCCTTCGTAGGACCTCTGTCCTTGACTATTTTTCTGTTATAGTAGCAGAGAAACTGTTCATATTAATGAGTATGTTCTTCATGGGTGTTTTCTATCTAGATTTACTATGAATAACAAATGGCATACAAATGATCTTCTAGGTGAAAATATATAGGTTTCTGACTTTAGATAAACTTGTGGTATATTGAAAGAGTAGTTTTGGCAACAGCACAGCGTAATCTGCAAAAAGTGCTGTAATAAGATGTGTAAAAATGAACCAAGACAAGGGTACTTCACAGAGAAGCAAAGGTTTAAGCTGAGTCTTAAATAGATGAGTAGAATTTTAACAGGTGGACCCAGGAATGGCATTTCAAATAAGTAGGATTCTTCTGATTACCTGTCTAGATCCATGGTGGACTTTTACTTCTGTGTGTCCCCCACCTGTCCAGTCCTCTTATTCCCCAGTTAAAATGATGTTACTTTGAAGAGGAATGAGGCAGGCTTCTTCCATTCCTTTAAATGCTTTCAGTTGGAAGTGTAGATTTCCCTTTTCTGTTCCCAGGAGTCTCCACTTACACTTTTAGTCTGTTTCACCCTTCATTTCCTGGGAAATCAGAAGCATTCATTGAGGAGTTGCAATCAGAACTCAGTTCGTGAAACTAGTTGAGAGAAGAAGATGCACATACACAGTACACTTACAGATAATCAACCTTTGTTGTGATTAGGCTCAGAAGTCACCACACTCACACACACACACACACACACACACACACACTCACACTCACACTCACACTCCCTGGGATCTTCCCAGCCCCACACTAGCCTTACCCTCTACCCCCTGGAGGTGAACTGTAGGTGTTACAGATCATTGTTAGCTGATAAAAGGATATGAACTGTTCCTGGGTGATTTATCACCTGCCTTGGCCAGCGCTTTCAAGGACTTTGGCAGTGTCTAGTCTTCTGAAGTCAAGCCCTCGAGCAACCCTGCCTTTCTCTCTCTCCCCCTAATTCTTCCCGCACTTCTCAATTTCAGGTTTGTGGGCAGACCTGGAAGCTACGTTTATGTGTTCAACAATTACCGCATGGAAGAGGTGAGTGTAATTAACCACTGGTGTTTCCTGCCTGGCTAGTGATTTGTAGGGGCACCCACCTCACCCCCAGCCCCATCCTCATCCCCCTTGCACCATGGCTGTGAATCCCTGCCTTTGCCTCTCTGACCTCACTTGGTCTGTAACCTCTCCTTCCTTTGTCTTTTCCTCTGCAGTGTGCTCCCGGGGGCTGCCTCATGGAGCTCTGCATTCAGCTCAGCATCATCATGTTGGGGAAGCAGCTGATCCAGAACAACATCTTTGAGATCGGAGTCCCGTATGTAATGAATGCATCTCTCTCCTTGCTGCTAGGGCCTAGCTCAGCGGGATTATTATGGCCTCTCCTTTTCTCAGATAGCTTGGCAATTTAGTCCTTTGTCCATTTGCCAATAAGGCAGGGCTTCTCCCATAAGCCTGGTTTGCCAGTCTGATTTGGGATGTTTGAGGCTCAAAAAGATTAAGCACTTCATTAAGTACATATAACCAATAAGTGGCAGAGCTAGGAATTGGGTATCTCTGACCTCCGTGTGTCTAATATTTTTTATGCCATCTGTTCTCCCAGTGAACAAGTATAAGAGACTTCTAGTGGGGTGGATAGGTGAATATGAAAGTTTGAAACATAATGTAACTGTTTAGGAAGATCTCTAAGGAAGTGTGGAATATATGATTTTAGGAGGAGAAGGATACATACTCACAGCTGGTGAAACAGAATAGATTTTCACTCAGATCTCTCTCCCATCCAGGGTGGGTTCATACAAATTTTATAGAATTAGATTTTACATTGAAGTAGTGATGAAAATACTGACTCAGACTCAAGACCTAAAGAAAAGAGTATGTGGCAAATGAAAACCTACCTTCAGATCAAAGAAAATGTAACCTACACTGCCTTTCAGTCCTATTGCTTTATTGTGTTAATAAAGAAGAATCTGTTTCAGGGGATATTTTCAGGCGGCCCAGCATCAGAGAGCCAGAGATTACCGAGGTAGTACTTACAGGCTGGGCCAATTCAGTTTAGGAGGACAGGATGGACAATTTGTGTTAGGCCTGGAGTTCTTTGCAAACCCCTTGTGAGACTAACCATGCGGGGATGCAATCGTCGGTCCCCACAGTTAACTGAAGATACTGCCACACACTCGGATTGACTCTGCACATTGTATTAATGGCTCTGAGAGATCCTGCTATAAAGAAGCTTGTTTGATCTCTTCCTTTCCAACTTCTTGTTCATGTTATTGGCCATCTTAGTTGTGGGCATTGGGATACACTCTAGCTAGTTCATGTAGAAAAGGAATTTAAGAACAGTAAGTAGCTAACAGAATATTCTTTAAGGGTCAGAGAGCCAGGTTCTGAGCTGCATACCCAGGAATAACAATGTCTGCGATGCAGGAGGGCTTGCAGGGGATGCCACAGCCTTTGCTTCTTGGCTCTCGTCACTCAAATAGTAAAAGATGAGAATTGTATACCAAAGAGTCACACCCACAAATACTGCAGTCTCTAAACTGCAGTATTCATCAGCTTGGGCTGCTATAACAAAATAACACAGACTGGGTGGCTTAAACAACACATATGTATTCTTATAGTTTTGGTGTCTGTGAAGTCCAAGATCAAGGTGCCAGCCGATCTGATTCTTGATGAGGGCCCATATCCTGGCATGCAGATGGCAGCCATCTTGCTGTATGTTCAAGTAACCTCTCCTTTGGGTGCATGTGGAGAGAGTGAGAGCTCTGGTGTCTCCTCTTCTTATAAAGGCGCTAATTCCATCATTGGGGCTCCAGCATCCTCATCTAAACTAATTACCTGCCAAAGGCTGTATCTCCTACTACCATCATGTTGAGAGTTAAGACTTCAACATCTGAATTTTGGAGGAGTTACAACTTTTCAATCAACAACAACAGCCTGTCTGTCTTTTTTCTTTCTTTCAACCTACGCATAAGATTTGTATGCAATCAACTTTAAAAAAATTTAAAATACATATGTGAAATAGCCCTTGTCTTCTCAGAGCTTATCTTTTAAGTTTGGGAGGCAAAACACATAGTATGTGACACAGTGCTCTCTGTGTAGTGCAAACTCAGAATTCATACTAAGTAAAGGTTAGGGACTGGGAACAAGTAGTCAAAGAAGGCTTCCCAGGCTGAAGGCTTTTCCGGGTTGTGTTTGTGTCTCGAGAGAAGGCTGCCGCCATCATATGTAATAAGATGGCCTGCAATTATTATGTTTAAAAAAATAATTTCTCTTGGGTGTGGATATCTTGTTTAAACAAACAGTAGATTGATTCAGCCTTATTAAAATCACCTCCTGACCCAGGTGGTGCTACTGATGGAGAACAGCAAGTCTTACAGGGATGGCGGCTCCCTGGTCAAAGTCTTGGGGAATGTCAGGGTCATGGCAAGAGCTCAGAATCTCACAATCTGTTGAAAGTTTGCTGAGTCCTGGGTTGCTTAGGCCAAATGGCATCACCAGGGGATGTGTGATCTGCTGGCTTTCTCTATGGAAAACTACACCAGAGTGCCCTGCTTCCATGGGGGGCTGTAACTGTCTGAAAGGTCTCTAGACCATTGGTCTTCCTCAGAAACACACTTACAGAGCTAAAGTTATAATGGAGAAAGTGTAATTTATCTGGAAAGACACCCTATTTTAGTGAGAGCTCTATTTCAAGGGATGAGAATCTTGAACAATTCCCTCTTAAAATGTTGCCAGCCCAGTCCTTGGAACAAATCTCAGCATTGGCCACCATGAATTAGGCTGAATGCTTAGAATGGTTTTCTGTCCCTACACTGGGACAACCTCAGGTGGCCCTCGGGCATGATTCTCTTGGAGGAGGGTGGTTGAAAGCATCGGTCTGGGCATCTTGTTCCATCTCTCTGCTTAGGTGAGCCTTTGCTCATCAGCCAGGAAATCATCAGTCTTGAGAACCTAAACCTTCTGAAGCTGGGCCTTGTTTCCCAGCTTTCTGATTCGGAGTCACTCCGTGAGAGTCATCAGGCAAAGCTGGTAAAACACATGGTTGCCGTGCTCTAGTTTACTGTCTCAGAGAGACCACGGTTGTTATGGACAAACACCCAGGAAATATACAGACCTAAAAAAGAGGTACCAGTGCCACCTCTAGCCCCTGTGACACTATGAGAGCAGCCCCTCCACCACTGCTGCAGTGGGAAGTCTACATCCCCTCAATGTCTGGGGAAGACACCTGCCCTTTCAGTACATTGTTGTTCTGCTCAGGATGGGATAGTTTATAGCTTGTGGGCATCAGATGCCCACTTTTTCATTTTTGGACATCTGCTGTACCATTTAGCTCTTTCACTCTGGACCCAGCAGCCTTTTTAAACTGTAAGAGAAGCCAAGAACTCAGGCATATGTTGAGACAGTGTGTTGGCATGTTCCCATCCACCATCAACTCCATCAGCTCCATAACAGATGAAGCTAACACATGGCTATTTGCCTTGAAGGCTAAACTTTGTGGTTTATGCTTGATGTGTGGTTGATATGCCACAGTTAATTAATGGTAATTGCATAGTAACTCATACAGCTGTGGGCAAGTCACTTCTCTAAGTCTCACTCTCCTCATCTTGTGATGAGAATGATGGCATCATAACCATCTCTAAGGTGCTCCCATTTCAGCTCAGACATTGTGTAAACCTCTCCTCTAGTCAATAAAGCTGGTCACTGCTGATTCCAAACACAAGCTTCTGTTTCAAAGTGTTTTTCCCGATTCCAGTTTCTAGTCTTCTAAAGGACACACACAACATAATTATGGGAAGTTAAATCTAGGGATGTAGAACAGAAGTTCTTCCACCAGAACTTAGGGTTCTTTATCTTTAAAGATTTTTATAATTCTACAGGTTGTATTTTGAGTTTGGTCACATGAAATCACTGTGATTATGATTTGTGGATTTTCCACTCTCTACTCAGAACCTCCTCTCAATAAATTAGACCCATCTAATCCAGTGTTCAGCACCTGGCAATGTCCTTAATGTGTGACACAGTTCAAATAACCAAGAAAATAAAAAGGAGTCTCTTATAGTCAGAAGAGAAATGACGATTGAACCTGACAGTGAGGGAAGAGCAGTGTAAATTATAAAAATTAGGCCCAGTGGTCTTTGGCTTTTTGGTGGAGATGACACGTGACTGTAGGGCAGAGATTGGGTGGTCCAACAGATCTGGGTTCAAATCTAGGCCTTACAGTATACTTACTGTGTGATGTTGGGAAAGTTATTCTAGAAGGATTTTCATCCAACATGGTTATATGAAAATATAGTTTGGATATATGCTCAGCTATCTAGAAAATGAAAGTATGGACATCTGAGAAAAGAACCATTCTTGGGGGTTCCAGGTGGTCAAGGTGGCACTGAATTTTATTGACTTACGTGTTTACAAGTGATGCTTTGTGAGTATTTCAACTCCAGGGAATGGACTGAAAAGAGCAACTCAGGAACACAATTTTCCTTTTCTATTCTGGGTCCTGTGGCTTTTGGTTGATAATGGAGCTCTTCGTGTACCTTCAGTGCCTGCCTCAAAGTTTTTCCCCAAGGGAAATAAATATTAATCTTACAGACCACACCTGATTTTTTTTTAATTTTTTTTATTTATTTATCTTTAGAGGGGAAGGGAAGGAGAGAGGGAGAGAAACATCAATGTATGGTTGCCTTTTGTGCATCCCCTGCTGGGAACTGGCCTGCAGGGAACTGGCCTGCAACCCTGGTATGTGCCCTGACTGGGATTCGAACCGCGATTATCTGGTTTGCAGGCCCGCACTCAATCCACTGAGCTACACCAGCCAGGGCTGATTTTTATATAAAGAAGCAAGGCTGAGGAGTTAGAAAGATGACATGCTAGATAAGAATATTTGGTATAAAAAATATAAGATTGACTGTCTTATAGCAGTGATTTTCAACCAGTTGCCACAAGGATTTTTAAAACATGGGATACCTATTTATTCAGGTATGACCTCTTTTCCCTTAGATTATCAAATAAAAAATATGACAACAGCCAACACAACAAAATCCACCCAATGTGAATGAATCAAAAATATACCTATTTTTTGTCAGGTTGGCAAAAAATAATATATATTTTGGTGGGTTGCCAAATTTTAGTAATGAGTTTATGTGTGCCATGAGATGAAAAAGATTGAAAATCACTGGTCTGTAGTAGTCATCATCTGCTTCCAAGAGTGATTTTTTAACATTTTTACAAAGAAAATTTTAAAATGGGAAAGGCTATCTAGTTGATCCTCGTTGTAGGTCAAACAGTCCACTATAATTTATTTATCTCTCCCCTTTAGGG